TGCTAAATTTGCAATCTTCAGGGATAAAAAAAAAATCGAGACAACACGTAAATGCCAAAAATGCAGTAATACTAATGGCCACTTAAGGCTTGCTTCAAAAGCATGGCATTCCCAGAGGGAAAGCATGCTTTTCTTCAATCATAAAATAACATGATTACAGCCTGGCACAAAAACATTTTCAATCTTCAGAATTTTTCCTTCATAATGACTGAGCGGGGTAACTTTCATTTCATTTTATTGTATTTATTTTTTTTAAATAACTCACCCATTTTGCTACTGTCGAGGTTGTAAGTGTGGCTGCTTTGATGGATGGAGTGATGGAGCCTTTCTGGACATTTTATTGGGATTTTCTAGAAAATAATAAGAACTATTGTGCCAGAGATAAAAAGGTTTCTTCCTGTTAAAAAGGACTTTTCCTTCCCACTGTCGCCAAGTGCTTGCTCATAGGGGGGTCAACTGAGTGTTGGGCTTTTCTCTGTATTATTGTAGGGTCTTTAGCTTACAGCACCTTGAGGTGACTATTGTGATCTGGTGTTGTATAAATACTAGTATTTATGACCCTATTACTAAGCTCTCATTGACAAATAGATGATATATACCAAGGCAACGAAGATTCCAGGTTCAGAGTCCACAGACCAGTGAGTGACATCAGTGGCATCTTTTATAAAGTGGAAGCAAAATGGTAGTGTAGCATCTGCAAAGTGCAGAGTGCTGAAACTAATGGGTGACATTACTTGAGGAATGGGAAATGAATCCTGTCATTAATCAATTAGTTGGTTATAAGAACCCCAACCCTCACACAGACAGCCTAAATTTTGCATAAATACTGCAGATGTATCCATTTTCATCGCAACTCTGCAACAAATTCTTGCTGCAACATGTCTCAGAAAGATATTTTTATATAGATCCATAATCAAGTTTGTCTGATTGTGTTTGACAGCGTTAAAATCAGGGACAGCGTGCTATCTTTCTTGTGGCAGAAACCGCAAATAATGGCTGCAACACTGATATGATGATATGTTGATCCCTTAAATTCTTAGAAGTGCAAACCCAGTATTCAGAAAGCTGCAGTATCATGATACTCCAACATATAAGCCTAATGCAATAAGTGGAACCAGTCACTTTCCTTTACATTTTCATATACCCTGAGAGAACAAGAGTAAACAAAGGAGCCCGAGACGAAGATGAATAAAAGTAATTTTCTATTTTCTTTTTCTCCCTTCGAGTTCAAACACACAAGCGCAACAAAAACACAGTGCATAAATGGGGTCATGCTGCATTCTGCGGTGTGTTGTGTTGCATAAACCCAAATCATCAAGCAAGCTAGCTATCAACATCTGAAGAGATACATACAGTATGCAGTAATAGGCTGAGTCATCTAAATAACTCTTCAGCAGGGTGCAAGCTACAGAGAAAAGATAAAGTGATGGAAGGCACCCGGTTTGTAAATGTGTTTTTCTGTATAAATACAACCTCAAAACCGAGCATGCTGAATATAAAAATAATGCAGTCATCATTTAATCATGGAAACATGCATTCGCTCTCTAAGTTTATTCTTGGTGTTAACTTTCAAAGAACCTACATCGTATATTTTTATGATTTGTAGGTTTCATTTTATGTATGTTATGCACCGTAATTTTATTTGTTATTTGCTATTTGCTATTCATAATCTACACCCAAAGTAATTTGGATTAGTCAAATATTTAACACCAGATGGAATTGGCATGATAATGTGGAAGGCTTGAAATGATAAACTGACATCAACTTATCTATATTCTGCAGTTGCTGTTGGCTCTGTTGAAGATTATAATGGCATTCAGCTCATTGTTTTAGTTTTACAATTAGACATTTTGATTCAGTCTCACAGCTCTCCTGTACTCTGATTAAAAAAAAACTCACTGTGGAAACTTTGCCAAGAACAAGCAACAAACAGGCAAAGTAAGCAACTAGCTGGAGAAGAATATGGAGCATTTATCAAATGAGGTGCTAGCCATTTTTATCTGTGACAAATTTACTTTGCATTATGCGAAGTTAGTCTTTTATTATTGAAAGTCTGGGTGTGTAACCATAAATGTTTTGAAATGAAATGAAATCTGAACTGAATGTATGGTTTGATTTAGATAAATGAAACCTTTTGAGTTTCTACACCTTTAGAAAATTTCGGACCAACATCCGTCAGCAACTGTGCTGGTTGATGAGATTTGTACCTCAGTTTTGTTATGCAATGTTTGTTGACAGCCGCCTGTTGAATATGAAAAATTAACACTGCCTTCTAAAGAAATCTCCAAAAAATGGAACTAATTATCTGAAAGATATAGATGTAACTAGGGTCTGTTCCATTCCTCTGTCAGGGTCTTTAGAGAAGTATGTTTCTTAAAACTGCCAAAAAAGCTCCATTATTCAGAGAAAAATAGGTTTTGTGAGAAGAAAATGAATACTGGTGTGTATGGGTCATTAGTGAGCTTTAGACTAGAGAGAGGCTGAATGGAGCCATTTTATCAGGCAGAATACAGAATCCATCAGGCCTCTTTGAGCCAAAGAAGAAAAGATATCTCAAGTGAGCACATTGGACTGAACCACGAATGAGCATGAAATCAAGGTAAGTGGAGATATCTAGGCCAAGAGGCTATGCTTGTTAGCTAAGAGTATTATACTTTGACTTTGGAAACACAAAAGGGAGATAAGCTATTTAACAGGTCCTACGTAAACGAAAGATGAATGAACATGGTGGGTGCACATAGGCCACAATTAATGGGATCTGATTTTAGACACATTTTATATAGCTATAGTGTGGAAACTCAATCTGAATGTTTAGTTTTAGCTATCAGTGGCATATTCAGGGGGCTTTGATGGTCGACATTTAGACCATTATTATTGTTATAATACATTATTCTAAAACAAATTTACAATAAATATATAAATACATAAAAATAAGAGTATGAATAGTGTGTAGAATTCGAAGACCACCATGTTTAAAGGTTTTTTTTTCCTCTAAGAGGCTGAACTAAGAAAGGCATAATAGAAAGTGAAAAGTGAAGTGAGACCGATGTCAGTACATTTACGATTTTACAGTCGTACAGAACTTCAGATGGACATCATCTTTCACTTAGAGATCCATTTACAGGTGCAAAAGTAAAAAGTCCGTGAGACTTTTTATTTCTTGACTTCCCTTTCCATTGCACTAAAACAACACCATCACTGTCATTTTCGTCTCTGTTATGCACACTCTGTGCTCGCATCATCTGTGTCTACATGGCTCCATGCTGTAAATAGCATAATGGTAGAAAAGTCTCTTCCATATATCTTGAAAGCATGACAAAAAGAACCAGTCAGTAGTTAAGGCTGAGCCTTTGATCACATTTTCTCTGTATTTCAGAAAGACACAAAGGAAGAATAATTGGCAGAAAAACAGAAAAAAAGACTTGTCAATGTCACTTCTAACACTTCTTAAAAAAAAAACCCCAAAAACAAAAAACTGGCCTGAGCACTATTGGGTGGCATTGAGGAGATAACAGCTATATCATTTGAAAATGTGTATGGCAAAAATCTGATGTATATATGATTTATGTCTCCATATTTTACCTACTTTACCTGGGTGTTATTTTATGAGTCAGACCAACAACCATTACAAGCGAAAATAATATTGTAATAATTGTTCTCTGGACCAAAATGTCCCTTATACCCTGATACTATGTATCGACACCAAATTTTAAACTACAGTCATGGTGCTTTCAGACAGCCTGGAGGCATAAGCTATATTTAATTCCAGTATAGGTTGAAAGGAAGCTCTTTTAAAGAACCTTCTTTAGCCATTTCAGTTTGACTGGTTAGCACACAATGAGATTGTACCGATTTATACGTGAAAAAGGCTTGTTTATTCCCACTGGAAAGCTATTTTCTTGACATGTTGAGCACAGCAAAGTTGTCATTCTTAACGTAGTATAAATGTATTTATTTTTTTGAAATGCGCTCTTATCTAGAGAAAGATATTCACTCTTTGCGAGCATTACATAAAGACAAGTGCCCCCTTTACTGCATGCAGATCTCAGCAGGTGAATGCTAACTGGAGGCGCCTTCTGTTTCCCCTAAGGGCTGACATGCTTTTAGGCAAACCATGTAGCAGCACAAACTGTGTGAACAACCACTGTGTGGAAAGGCAGCTGAATTTCTCATCAGTGCATAGGCCAGATCCCATGAGCCCTATGATCTAATCTAGTAAATAGATCTATCAGGAACAAAGAACCAACTTTTAACAATATTATGAACTGTAACTGTGCCAAAGTAATCATTACAAGCCGTAGATTTAAAGTCAAATTTCCTAGTGTCTTAGTCAGCTTTTTTAAATGAAAGACTAAAAGGGGGCATCCTCGTTGCCCCCTTTTCCATTGCTTTAATTGAAATAAAATGACAGTTTCAGCCACTAACCCTCTAGTGATTAAACCTTTAGATGAACCACTTCATTGAAGCCCCTTCTTCCCATTTCCCTGCTGACAATCTGAAAGCTAATGACTCTGGAGCAGCTACACCAAGCAAATGACCCAGCAGTGCCCCCATGAGAGACTTTGTGGGATTACAATATACTTACATGATATTGAAACTATGAAAAAGGTTTTGATTGTTGTAGTATCTTTTGCACAGGTGACTGTTATGAAAAATGCCTCAACTGCATGAAGAGTAGTGAGAATAACTTCTGCAGGAAAAATTGCATCAAAGCAATTGAGAGAAAAACTAAATTAGTGTGTTTCCTTGGACACAGTCACTTTTTGGGTATAGTCCACAAATTCTCTCTCTCACACACAAATGACTTTTGGAATTTTAAAATGTTTATTAAAAAAATAGAAAAATTGTATTTAAAAAAAAAAAGTCAGTTGTTTACACAATACAACCAGCCATTAAATGTACAGGAAGGAATGAGCTGGGGGGAGATTTGGTTCATGTAACAACCTAGATTATCGTTTAAACATATTGCTAAAAAGCTGCACTGGGGGGAGGAGAAAAAAAAAAAAAAAAAAAAAGCTGACAGCATCATGTGTCCATCAGTTTGGTACACGGCATGTTACAATAATCTGACTTTCGAAACACGAGACTTTAAGTGATTTTTACTCTTGCCTCAGCCAAAAGTCTTGTAACAATAAATCTCTGATCTCTGGTTTGCCAAGCACAAGTCGCTATGTAAACTTTAGCTGTGAAACTGTCTTTGAAATACTGACTTTAAAGATGGCAGAGGAAAACCTCTGGAAAAAAATACAAGGCCCTCTTGCACAAATCAACTACTCTTATCAATTTAGGGGAAAAAACAAAACAAAACCCACACACACCTCACGGACATGCTGCTCATGCTAACAATCACTGACTGCGATCGGAGTCTGCTCTCAGAGCTTACATCTACAAGCTGTATGGCAAAAATAAAAGTCCAACAGTTTTGTTGCCACTGACAAAACACAAAAGGCTCCGACTATGTAACGGAGGAGGGTCAGATTTGGTCATTTAGAAAGGCAGTTACATTGTTGCTTTAACAGAATCAAAAAAGATATAAGGCAAGAAAACAAGCACTTTGCTGGTAATAAATAGCACCAACTTTTCTTGAACTAACAAGATATAACTGCTAAAAAGGTGCATTTCCCCAACACAGCCTATCAAGAGGAAATACTAATGAAGAAAGCAAAAACAAACCCCCAAATTAAGTGATATGTTTAAAATGAGAACCAGTGGTGGGAGGAGCTATATTTGGACAGTTGGGAAAATTTCAAGTGATCATAAATCAATGGTAAATGACAATAGTTATGTGTTGGCATCATGGGATTTTTGGCACATTTCTCACATTACACCATAGCTCCCTCTTGTGTTGGAAAGCTTTAAACAGACAGTCCTAGGCCCTCAAATCCTATTGCACAGATCAATGTAGGCTAATATAAAAAGCAACCTTATAGTGGCGAGAACTCCCTTATTAAAAAAAAGAAAAAAAAAGAAAAAAAAGTGGAATAAATTAAAAAAACTGGTCAATATTGCACAGAAATGCAACAGACATAATATAAGGTGGCAATGTTTACAGTACAGAACAAAACAGAGGTGCTAATGTGTGTGGGGGGAGGAGACATTAGTGAGGGGAAAAAGTTCTTAAAACACAACAACCACCCAATTTAATTTAAAAAAAAAAAAAAAAAAAAAAAAAAAAAAAAAAAAAAAAAAAAAAAAAAGGGAAGCAGACAACGGATGATGCCCAACACACACACAAAACACTTCGTACATTCAAACAAGTCATCACAGTTTGAGCACTTGCGATAAGGTCCATTTTTGTGCCGTCACACCAAAAACACTGTCAGCGTTGAGCTGCATAGGTAGAAAGGTAGTGCTTCGATCCAGAGTACAAGTTGTAGTAATAGCCCTAGCTGTAGGGGCTCTTCATGAAGAGTTCAGCTAATAGGGTGTTGCATTCACAGGATCAAATGAGCCCCCAAACCTGATGAGATGGGCCCCGACAAGAGTCAAAAGTTCAAGAGATGCCAGGCTCGATGAACCAGTTCAGTAAAATGGCACACGATGTTCAAAAAGGTCCGAGTTCCATGGAAACTCTACTTGACTTGAGCTGCTCAATAAACTAGGAAGCAACACTGATGAGAAGGTGAAGTCTGGAAAATCCTCAATCAAGTCTGTGCTGGTGTGCGTCACATTGAGAGAGGGGCTTCTGACTTCAGACAGATGTAACAAAATGAGTTCAGTCATGGATTTAAATTCAGTTTTCGGACAGGAAGTGTGCGGCATAGTGAACAGACTTGGGAATGCTAGCACGATAAGGTGCATTTTTGACAGCCTCCCATATCAAGATTTCAAAAAAAGAAAAGTATCATCACATGATCACTTTGATGGTTGTAGAGAGGCCTTCAGAAACCAGTTGGGACAAATACTGTAGGTGTATTCTTTCATCTGATTTGGTTCAAGGCAGGAAAATTGTCCTTCTTTTTGCGTCGACAGGCGTTACGGCCGTACTGCTGCTGGTTCCTGAAACCCGATGTAGCGTTATGAACTTGGGGAACAAATCTGCGCTGAGGACTGAAGTTAACGTGACTTTGGCCTTGGAGGTTACTGCACTGATTGTGCTTGAAGACAAGTTTGGGATGCTCCAGTGAACCGTGGGAATTGGATCCCATGGCATAAGAGCGGCTTTGCAGTCCTCCTACCTGAGGGTGGTGAAGTTGTTGTTGGTGGTGGTGGGGACTTAGGAGAGGGCTGGTAGAGTTCATGTATTGTGAGATTTGAGGGGTTTGTGGTGCGACTTGTGGCGAATGACGGTGCACAACGCCGATGGAAGGAGGAGTCTCGTGGTAGAAGCGGCAATCGGAGAGATGGGGGATGGCTATGTTTTCTGGGAGGGACATCTGGATCTGAAAAATTGTGGGGAAAAAAGAAAAAGATTGAATTTGGGATTCTTTTAAAGCATTAAAGGGCATTTGGGAAAAAAAAAAAAAATTTGGACTTTGCCTTTTGAAATATAAATGTCAGTATGAAGAAACAGACCGACCTGATGCATTGTGTGAATAAAGCCTGCTGGATGCGCAGTCCTCAGGTTAGTAGTCATCTGAAACATTGACTGGAAGGTCAGGGGATGGAATTGGACAGTAGTATTGGTGCCGTGAGGGGATTCAGATTCCTAGGAATGTCCATATACAAGTTAAGAAAGCCAGACTGACAAGAGAAAAACCTTAAACATTTGGACTATGATCAAGTTGTGATGGAACATTATAGCTGCTTTGTCTATGTGCTTTATCTTTACATATTTTGAATTGCCACCTTGTGTGCCAAAGTGGTGGTCAAATAATTTGGTAAAATGAAGAAAAGAATATTTGCCCTTACTATGTCACTTCCAGAAGAGGAAGAAGAGGAGAGCGAGCAAGCAGAGGATGAGGACAAACGGTGATGGGGGCTGTTAACGAAAACTGGAGATGGTGACGGGGAGTCGGCACTGAGCGGGGAGGATGCGTCTCTTTGATCCCCACCCAGCATCAGCCTGGCCAGATCCTGTTCGCAAACCTCAACATCTAGGACCAAACAGATTACGGTTAGACTGCATTGGGTATATTTGACACATTTTCCTCTTTTCAGCAACATCAGTTATTGAAACTGAACTCCAGTTCATGTTACGCGAAGCAGGCACTAACCAGAAGTTGAAGACAACATTCTGTGGTTTCCCAGCTTGGCATACTGCTTGGCACCCCACTTCTGGATTGTCCAGTCCCTGTATTTCAGGACCTCTTGGCTGACTTTGATGAGTCTTCCCAGAGTACTGCAACATAGAGAAAGTAAAATATGACTACTTAGAGAAACACTGTAAAAACACAAGATTAAACTCATAAGGAAAGGTTACACTTTCCTTATGATTAGGAGGGGGTGGGTTGGCACAAACCTGTCACAGTCTTTGTTAGGGTATGCACGTGAAAGTGGAGAAACACTATGGTTTAGTACCATGTAGGCAAAGTCAAAAACCTGCTTGACTTGCAGAACCCCATATGAACTTCTGCCCACGTCGTTGCCTGTGAAGATCACAGACACACACGCACACACTCGATTAGCTGAGCATTACAAGACTGACTCTGACAGCATGACACATTTTGGCGTTCATATATCAAATGTTTTGGGATGTACAGCAATCAAACTTTTATTGTTACTGAACCCACAGGTGATTATACTGCAGCTCTTTAACATTTTTTATTTCCCTTCACTTTGGATTGCCCTTCCAGCAGCCAATAAATACCTGTGTTTTTTTTTGCTTTTGCAGTAATGTCTTGTACAAATTCTATTCACATTTGAACATTTTCTTTATTTTAGTCTGACCTGGTTGGACTGGATCTTCTATGCAGAGCAATGATGGTCTGTTTCCATTCTCCATTTCTTTGAGCATTTCCTCCTTGCACAGGTAGGCTCCTCCATTTTTCACTCTGATGGCGGTCTTAATGTAGTCGAAATCACGGCCGTACAGTGCAAAAAATTCAATCAGCAGGATGCCCAGGTTAATGTTGGGACGGCTCGTGTCTATCCGAGGGTGTAGCTGATTAGCAGGACATAAAGAACTTATTACCTTTGCTGTGTAACACTTTACATTTTAACAACTTTTTGGTCAACTTTTCCAAAATGTTTTTATTTTAAATAAACCAGAATGTAGTTATTATCAACTCTGGAACTAATCACTTTGCTGATGAGCATCACTGTGTACCTGCAGGAAGCTGATGGCCATTAGTATAAGACTGTATGAGCTAATGCCTCCAGTGAAGACTTCATTCAATTCTCTCTGCAACAGGAACTGCTTCAAAACGAAGATTAAGGGTGGCAGAACGGGGTACTTCTACAAGAAAAAAAAAATAAAAATAAAACAAATTAGCAGAAAAACAAAACGATCATTTACACAAACTCATTTTTTTAAAAAGGGAAAAAAGTCTGTCGTTAAAGGCTTACTTTAAGGTAGCTTTTGATGAACTGTGCTGCTTTGACTGCAGTCTCTACATTAAAGCTGATGTCCACTTTGACCCGTGTTTCACAGTCTGTAAGCTTGATGATTGGCACCTAAGGAAATGTCAAGAATTAGTTCACAATTTGGCAATGCCAAAATTAAAAAGCCAGGATTCTCTCTCGACTTACTGTAGCTTTGTCAAGGAGTTTGATGGGATGTGAGCCGGACACATTGTGTTTTTTCAAGGCTTGCTCCAGTTCTTGCAGCGGAGGACGGTCCCACTTTCCGAACACCACCAGGTCAATGTCACTAAGGACGCAGCAGAATGAAAGCAACATAATTTCAAACGGTTTCTTTACACGTCTCTCAGACACACACCAAATGGTAAAAATAAATAAATAAAAAAATAAAAAAATAATAGCTACAACAAGACAAAAGAGAAGTTACTGTAACCATGTTCCAGTCATAAAACTTCAATCTTATCTGCACAACAAAAAGGCTTTTGACTACATAACATATGTACAAATAATAAAGAAAGCAGCAGTGATCTCTGCCTGTTGGTTTGTGTACACATGTTAGAAAGACAGTTTTATTTCATAACCAATATTTAATTGTTCAGGCAGTTTAATTTTCATTGCTGAGCGAGTATTATGTGAATCCAATGAAAACAACCATTGCACAAAACAGATGCTGTATGTACTAGAGATGGACCGATCCGATATTACGTATCGGTCCGATACTGACCTTAATTACTGGATCGGATATCGGAGAAAAATAAAAAAATGTAATCCGATCCATTAAATATCACGAAAGCACCTCACAAAACTTGCAACACGCCGTAACTCACCTCAGAACGTTAGCACGTCGGAGCAGTATGCATCACGTGATAGAGCGGCTGTGGCATGCGGGACCTGTCGGTGGTCTGGATAGCATTTGGAGCTTCGCTAGCAACCCGGCATTTCATCTCCGACAAAGTTATCCCGAGAGAAGTAAAGCAAGTGTGTAAGTCCATCTCTGAATGTTTGTAAAGCATTCCTGCGTTAAGCTTAACAGATATATGGAGCGACTGCCTCTTCTCTGCTGCTACTTCAATCATGAAACTGCTTAATCGATCAGCTGATCGGCTTTTCTGTCGCGAGTCCGTGTCTCTGGTTTGCTTTTTGGCCCACTTTGCACCAGAAAGAGGAAACCAGCGGCTGAACAACAGCAGCACGTTTAAGCTTGATCAGCTGTTGTTAGAATTTATTTAATATTACTTTCTACACCAGGATCTTTTTCTACGTAGCTGACGCTGGTAACTGTGCAGGGGCGGATCTAGCAAAGTTTAGCCAGGGGGGCCGATAGGGCATTAACAGGGAAAAGGGGGCACAAAGACATACTTTTCTTTCTTATTCTCATTTAAAATGTCTAGCTTTTAATAAATAATTATCTGACACCCAAAGTTTTAATTTGATGTAAAATGAATAGAAGTCAATTACTGTATATAGTAACTATTAAGTCTAATATATATACCCTAGTAAGCTATAGTACTTTTTCCTTTGGGAAGGTACCATCTGTGCAGTCTGCAATTTTGTTGAAGAAAGATGTTGAATCTATTTAATATTTCTTGAAAAATAATTGATTTCTGTGCATTTTTTTTCACACTGCATCAAATTAAGGTTGATTACGTCGATTAAGCATCATGAGGTGGAGCGTGAGGGGTGGTTCCCTATTTTTTATTTATTTATTTTTGTTGTTGCTGGGAGTTGGAACCCTATTAGTTAGGTTGCTTAATATTTATGCTAAGTACTCTTTAAAATACCAGAATAGGGAGGATGGTGTAGGTTTAAGTTTATTAGATTGATCAGTATTGCTGAACTATGAAATATTTTTTTTTGCATACAGGTATAACAGAATAGCTTTAGTGTAGTTGTTGTTTTAAACTTGAGTATGAACTTATACAAAATGCAGCAAGATATTTAAAAAAAACAGTTTTGTTGATTAAAAAACACTATATCGGATTCATATCGGTATCGGCAGATATCCAAATTTATGATATCGGTATCGGACATAAAAAAGTGGTATCGTGCCATCTCTAGTATGTACTCACTCCAAAAATCACTTCATTTGCTAATGCGATACAATGTTTCCAAATAAGGCTGCTGAATATTTTAAACTCCTGCATATTTGCTGAAATGTCACTCCCCCTCAACACTCTTCATTTCTGTAACTCAACTCTCAGGACAAGACCTTGAGAAATACAATGCATACATAAAAAACTATAATAAACAGCATCTAGTTCAGTGTAAATTCTAGCAGAATGAACACTGAATGCAGTGTGGCATTTTAATACTGACAAAAAAATGGTGCTCCCACTTCCTAAAAAGCAGCGCATTTTACAAGTAGCCCGTGTAAGGTGAGAGTGTACGGCAACGGTAATGCAACAAATGTTACCTTGTTGGAAGATAAACTCCAGTGCTGAAGCTGCCAAATATCTCCACCTGCAGAGGACAACATAGGTTTGGTTTCAAGAGCCATAAGCATATCTGAGGTATTTGCTAGCTTGACCTTGATTTTGAGCTGACAATGTGGAACCTTAAAAAAATAAAATAAAGACTTCAGTGTAGTTACAATTAAGGCCATACATGGCTGTTTTTCCCTTTATACACCACCACAGTGGGTTATTAAAAATAAAAAAGTAACTTTTTGTTTAGTTTATTTATTTCAAGTGCTGAACTTAATTGGTAGCTGGTCATTGAATGTGAACATCATTAAACTGACAAACCAAAATCAACACATCAGAGAGATGGCAAAAAGTTTAGAAGAGGCCGAATCAACAGTCAAGCACGTCATTCAAAAAGAGAAAGACCAGCGCAGGCTGGGGATGACAGAGTTTGATGGTTAAGATAAAAAACAAAAACAAAAAAACAACTTCACAACATCTGAGTCCTCTCGAGGAGGCAAGTCTATCAACTGACAAGGTCAACAATCAAGAGAGACCTTCATGAATACAGAGGGTATGGAACAAGGCTCAAATCATACACTCGATAACATGGCAAAATTAGACTTGACCAGACAATATCTAAAGAGAAATAAAAAAAAAAATTAAAAAAAGGCTGCTCACTTCAGGAAAAATTAATTCATGATTAACTTGTATAGAAAGATTGGAAGAGAAAAGTATGCAGAAGGGCAAACTGAAGCATAACACATCAGCTCACAAGCATGGTGGAAGCAACATCATGGCACCAGCATGTATGGCTGCCAATGGAACTATGTCACTAGTGTTTACGGATGATTTAACTGCTGACAGAAGTAGCAGAAGTTCCCGTTTAGCAAGCTGTTATTTATGATTTTGGAAAAAAAAAAAAAAGATTTTCAAACTAAATTTGACCTTGCAATCTTTTTGTGTAGTTTTAAGCCATTTGGATAAATAAATATTCATTACTTAGCAGATGTCTCTGAGTGTGCAACAATACAGTCTGGACACAGCTTGCCATCCAAGCCTGCTAGCATTAGGTGACAACTTTGTGCTCTACCCTTCTGCAAATATGGCCAATTCTTGACTTAGTAAAAACAATAAAACTCAGTAAAAAAGTAAAGGCCAAGCCAGCTGCACTGCTATGTGGGGCAGCACACCCAAGAAGGTTTAACTCCAGTCTTACTTGAGCAGAACTCTAATATTTCTGAGTCTTTTACATAGCACTGATTCGCAGATATCTGTATCTGTGCTGCATCCACAGTTTATGTATCCAGCTTGTTGACCAGGCTTTCTACTGTTCTACATACAGTGTATGGTCAAAATACACTAATTTTATGTATTAGTCAAGATGTGCAATAAAACTATTGCCTCTGTAAATGTCTGGTTTCTAGAAAAGAAAAAAATAAAATAAAATCACCACCAGGGATAGGAGGAGTAACACAGAATGATCTTCAGAGAAAAGAAAGGAAAAGAATCCAATTCACAGTGAGGCCCAGTGGGATTTCTGTGGGCCAGGATTAGTTCAAAATGTTTATAATGTGAACCCCCCCCCCAAAAGAGCCATTTGTTACAGAGTGCACTCTGTTGGCAGTATACAACGGAAAATAATTTACTAATGTTACTTTGGGAATGCAGGCAATATGAATGAATGATTACATCTGGCCAAGTCTGTTTGGACATATAGCGTAAACTATGCTGCTGACTGCCTTCTGCATAAAGCAGGACACACAAATGTAGTAAAGTGCCAAACGTAATGACTGCTGAAACCATGAAAATCATAGGCCTGATTTATGCAGGGCATCACAAACAAAAACAAGCTGCATAATTATAACCATAAAAAAATAAAATAAAATTACTGAATACACCAACAGCAAAGAAAAAAGAAATTGGATTCTCATAAAGTTAGGTGCAGGGTAAAAAGATGCCCTTTATTGTGACCAAGGCAGTAAAAAACACTTGATTGGGGTCATCGCTGTACTTCCGCAGGCTTACAAGTACCTACGGTTGAAATATCCCTTCTGTTCTAGCATGTGTCCGAACATTTGGATGCCAGACAAAGAGTGGGAGTAAAGGTTAGTTTTTTTCCAAATATATCTGACTCGTGTGTTCAGTGTTACTCTGGAAGCAGGGAGGAGTACTCCTGAATTTAACAAGAATCTAACATCAGCTTGTCTCTTGATTAACTTTAAGAAGCTACTCTGATACTCATAAGCCAACATACTTCGCTTATGAGAGGGTTGGCAGCACATCACAAAAACAAAAGTATGTAAAACTGAGCATCCAAACCCCCACCCCACACCATAGTTACCTGTCCAAAAGGTGTGCACAGGTAAACATCTATGCTGGTGACACTCACCTGTACTGTGGGCCACAAATCTTTGATAATCCCCTCTATTCTGTTCACTACATCCCTTCTCATTGACTCTTCTTCTGGTTTTGGTGACATGAAGCTGAAGAAGTCCATAATCTCTTCGTGAAGACTAAAAAGACGGAAATAAAGTGTAAACCAGAAGCACATCTATGGTGAAACACTGCATTTGGATAAAAGAAAAGTTTGTCCATACCCCCTCCTCCCTCCTTTTCCTTACCCATTGATGCCCTGGCTGTAGCGCCTGGTTTTCCACGGGCTACAATTAGAGTCTGGATGATGTCCATTGGAGTCGAAGCACAGGAGGGGGTTGATGCCGTGGAAAGTGTTGGCCCTGTTCAGGTGCTTCCTGCGGCTGGATGAATGTGTCTGATAGTGGTGCTTGTTCCCATGCTGATTTCTTATCCCAGGGGGGGTGTGGTCGGTAGATTGTTGCATGCTGCGCCAGTGTTGCTGAACAGTGTGAAAAGGGGTTAGAGGGTATTGCTGTCGGAGACTGTTCTCCTTCAACTCCTGCTTGCCGTAGTGCAAGAACTGGTTAGCCTCTTCTGTAACGCTCAAATTGTCGATGTGCAGGCAGGAACCAGAGGGCGAGGAACTCTCGGCCTCCGAGTCCAAAGAGGAGGAGGACGGCGACAACGAGCCCTTCCTCCGGACACTTCCCCTCTCCCCGCTGCCGTCTCGCTTCGACAGGTTCCCCAACACTACCATCGGTGGCGGTGCTACATTTCTGCAATACTCACCGCGTGAGTCCGTGGAGTTTGCGCTCTGCGCTGCAAAGTTACGTTGGTGTTGAAGGCGGCTGTCGATACCGGAGCCTGCTCCGAATTCCTGAGGGGTTCGCCAAATGTGCATCCACAGGGTACTGGCAGGTACCTTCTGCTCCGGCTGGATCCAAGCGGTCCTGGGATCCATTGGACTCAGAGTTTAACGGGAACCCCTCTTCTCTTCTTAAAATGGCAAGCAATGTAACAAATGAAACACACTGCAGTCAAGCAAACTAATAAATCCTACCGCGCTTATTCACTTATTATCCTCTCAGGGTTTCATGTCCGGAAACGGGTTTGGTTTTCCAAGCGGCTTCGCTAACTCCACTACCCTAGTAAAACAGCAATATGGCGCACCCAGTAGCATTCAGCATCTACGCATGTCTGAGGGATTTAAATCTTTGAACACACCCCTCAGCCCCGAGAGAGCGGTAAAGCTAACAATATACAGGCCTCACAGAACGGAAGCTGGTCCCTTGAAATTTAACTAAATTTAATTATTTTATTTTGACGCACTAAAAGTAAATGAAAAAGAAAGAAAATAATACGAGCTACTTATTATTATCATTATTATTATTATTTCCAGTTAAGGCGTTCTTTCTGTTGTTGCTATTCTTAGATTTGGCACAAAGCATGCTTTTGTTTCTATTAAAATATTTCGCACTATCAACGACTAAAATAGTTTTGATTTATAAAACTTCTACGATTATCTGCTCCTAGCATAACAAATTGTATGGAGGTTAAATAAAGAAGTCCTAATTCGTATGAGCTTGAACGTTATGATGAATGTAGCTATCGAGCGATTGTAGATTTTATTTTGATAGGCAGCCCCGGAAATGGCAGCTCTTACAAAATTTCCACATTTGATAAATCTGAACACCGGGTAAGATAAAACATGATTGTTGTAGTGGTTTAGTAGTCCTCGGGTATTACTCTATTTTAATGAGTCCTGACGTTTGCAAAATAAACCTCACTGTTCATCAAACTGTGAACGTTTTACTTTTTTAGTGTCAAGCTAATTTTTTATAAAAATAACAAGCTGATCCGATAGTATGCAGCATTCCCAATAGCTTTGAAGTATGTACACATCACTGAGAAGACCTAGGTTAACAGAGACTGCAGCAAATGAACACAACTTGGATCCAAATTCGGACATTTTAATTTGAAAACCGCCCCCCCCCCCCAAAAAAAAACAATTAAATAATCTCTCAAGCATTTAACTGTACAACATATTTACTTTGGCAATCCTATTTTTCATGAATACAGACATTGATGCTACAACTGTAAACTTCAGCAGAAAAACATACACAGCAACACCACACATATACACACTGTACAGTACTTTACAGCATTAATCTGAGTATAACAGAAGTTATACCAGTACATTTGCTACAGGCAAAGTTTCAATTTAAAAAACAAAAACTGCTACAAAATTCAGAAATATAAACATTTTTATATAATTTTAGAGTAGAAGTGCACATAAAAAAATTAAAACAAAAAAGCAGTCTGCTGGACGTTTTAAAATTTTAGAACCACCAATTTACAACTGCTTGTGAGTCACCCAGTAAGTTTAAATCAGCGCCAATTTATGCGTCTGTTTCCAAAAAAAGGGGACAGACTGTCATGTCTGTGGATTTGTGCACTTTAGCTGTTGGCTTGTCTGCAAATAGAGGCTAGCTGGTTAATGCAGCTAGTGACAGCAGGAGGGACACTTTGAGATGTTTCTCCTCTCCATTCTGCAAGAGCTTCCAGGGCTTGTTTGGGGTTACATGGAGATAGGTCATAGATGCAGTAGATGGCTGCTAATTGCACCTCCCATGGCACACCTGCACACATGTGACATAATATAATTAGAACTGTTACATGAAACCCTTCCATTTAGCAGCAAATCAGCATGTGCTTAATGGCACAGAAAATACAGATGGGCAAATGTGCTTTAACATGTCTGAGACAGAGAAATATAAATCTTGCTTAAATCAACACTACACAAATTAAAGAGATACCATGTTAACAAAAACATTGTATTCCCTTCAGTATGCAATTATTTCCTACCTTCAGTTGGTCCGTGCCTACCAAATGTATTGATGACATTGGCAATAGTGACCACAGTAGAATTACACTTCTCCTTCAGCCCCAGCTGACCAAGGCATCCTATTACAAAAACAATTTAATTCATTTAATGTAATTTCCAACAAATCCCTCCAGCTTAAAGCTTGATAACCAAATAAATTTAGGAAACATCTGACCTATGAGTCTGAGCACAGTAGCGACAGCCACATCAGAGATGGGCTGTTGTTGCTGTCTTGGCTGTGTTACCCAACTGTTCATCAGTGGCCACAACTCCTTGCTGTCAAAGAAAATGAACAAGTTAAGCAGAAGCTATGTGCCTTCAGGAGCCATGTTGGACATGGCTTTTTACATCTTATTTGCAAGTCACATAAAAAACAAAACCCTCACATTATTATTATTACTACAAGACAGAAAAACAAAATAACATACCCTAGTAAATTATCATAGGTCCACTTCCACTTCTTGTTTGTACAAAGCAGGTGCAGTGCATAGACGTGTTCCCAAGCCTCGGCTCCAAGGTCCTCCCCGTACCGACTGTGTTTTGTGAAGGACAAATTTGATCCCGATCTGATCTCAGAAAGTGTTCTGGAGATCAGCTCGTCAATGTCACAGGGAGGAGTCTGTAGTGATATGGGAAGAATAAGTTTAAGAGGGCACACACACTACTTGATTTAAAGAATGCATACTCGTAATCAAAAAATACCTTGTTCCAGCCAAGAAATGCTAAAAGGCAGCTGAGAAGCTCTTCTGATGCTCTTAGTTTGGTGACGGCATGAATGGCTTGGGACAGAGAACTGGTGTGTGTGAGAAGGTTGGGCCATGTTGTCACCATAAATAAAATCAGCTTCGCAGAATCTGGAAAATCTGCAAAAAGGATGAAATAAAGAAAATAATAGCAATATTGACTACAAATAAGCTTAAGTAATACATCACAACGAGTAGAGGTAGTTCTTTAACTTTAGCTTTCCATGCCGTCACTATGTTTTCCAGTTAAACAACACCAAAAATCAAATTGGCTATCACGTATACAAGTTCTCTTAAACTGTCATTAGAATTATTTTTAAATAAAACCATGTTAGTGTAGAAAAGCTGTGTAAAGCTTTTATAAATATGGAACAACATAAAATGCTCACCTTCTATTAGGAGGCTGTAGGCCAGGACACGAGCCTTTTCCACATCTCTCCTCTGCCTACAGAGCCCAGTGTAGACTCTGCAGAGGGCCTGGACATAGTTTCGACTCAGGTCCATTTTCCCAGCTTTCAGTTTGTTCAGGATGGCCACAATCATGTCATCTGCCTAAAGTGTAAACCAAGAGAGACAGAAAAATGTCAAATTACACACAAAGAACCTTCTTACTAGTCAGACATTTTGATGAGAGGCAGATGTGAACTAATTGCTTAATTTTGCTGACATGAAACTACCTTCATACTCGTATGTGGCAAAATTTACAAACAGGAAGGAGGTAATACATTTACTGACAAAAGGGTTATTAAAAAGCATTGTAGCAGTAGAGTGCGATTGTTTTATTTTCAACCCAGTAGATCCTCCAACCAGAAATTAAAAGATAAAAAAATGTAAGAACAATAAACAGTCTACTAACTGAGTTGCTCTGGCAAACTTCAGCGATGACCTCCTTCTCCTCATCTCTTAAGACAGGCTTTTTGGGAAGGTTACCAACATGCAGATGGCTCCGGATCACAGGCAGCAGATCAAAGCACTGGTCTTCAATTTTCCTTAAAGAGTTAACTATAAGATTTTTCTGTGGATGTTCTACAGATTTCAGGGGTGAAGAGGTTGTCTCAGTTTTCGGCTGTTCTAGTGTCGGATTCTGGGCTGATGAGGTGTCGTCTCCACTTTTTGAAGAGGAGGCAAGCACCTGATTGTGAGTCACACCAGCAGCCTGATCAAGCCTGAGACATTTACTGCTTTTAGGCTGCAGCATACCGATGGCAGGCCTTTTTTCTCCCCTCACTTCAGTCTTTGTGAAGGCCGTTGAAGTGGAGTTTATAGTTTTAAAGCTAGACTTCTGACTGTCGGTTGTCGGTAATGTTCTGCCCTCGGATGAGCAAATGTTGAGATTGACATTGCCTCTAAGAATGCTCAGAGTACGAGCCCGGGCAGAGAGCTCTGGATACATGGTGTCGAGAAATCTCATGGAATTCTCCTGAGATGGCGTCGTTGAGGATGATGAAGGAGAAGAACTCACTGCTGTCAAAGGCAGGCGACCAGGGACTGGCACAGCATGTTTAGGCGTGGCAGAGCCGAACTGAAGTGGTGATGAGGGGACTCCATTTAGAGGGAGTGGGCTGTTTGTGGATAAAGAACTCAGCTGATGACGGTTCGGTGTTCTGTTAGTCTGAGTAGGTGAAGTAGGAGATTCAATTCCATCCATGGGTGAAGGAAATAATAGTTTCCCAATAGCCTGCCTTGGGTTGATAGATCTGTTCGCCTTTGGAGGAGTCTTCAAAGGGGTAAGGAGACGAGGAAGTGGAGGACCCATTTCGCCGCGAACATTGCTTATGCACTCTGGAGCCTGAGCTTCAGCTGAACTTTCTCCTGAGGTAGTTTTTTCCTCTCTTATTAGATTTTCAGGCTCTACCGTTTGCAAGTCCAAAGATTTATCTTTTCCTTCTGTGGCAGGATTCTGAATTAATGGAGTAGTATCACCTCCATTCATTTTATCCTGAGCCTGGTCTTCATTAGAAGCACTTTTGGTGACACCTTGTTCCTCTAAACTGAAAGAAGGCGATTGTATGTTTGTTGAAATAATTTCTGTCTGAACATCAGCATCCAATATTCCTGGGTTTGGCTGAGTGTCCAAAGATGCCAGCTTTACAGTGGGCAAAAGACATGAGGGACTCAACTGCCTGCAAAGAGAATGTCTATCTTCTTTTGAAGCTTTACAGTTTACAGTATTTGTCTCTGGGGAATCAGGCATCGTCTCCAATGACGTACTACTACTGGTGTGTACTTTGTGCTGAGGAAGATCTTCAACAGTAGCTTTTTCAATGTCACATTCTTTCTCTAAATATGGAAAAGGAATTGGTTTGTTTGTTGAGACGTGGTCTATGTTAACATCAACGTTCAATTTTCCAGGATGACTATCCAAAGCCTGCAGCTTTATAGAGGGTAAAAGGCAGGAAGGACTCACTCGCTTGCAAAGAGAATGTGCACTTTCTTTCAAAGATTCACAGTTTATAGTATTTGTTTCTTGGAAGCTGGTAACTATTTCTATGTCAGCATCCTTTTTTCTAAAAGGTTCAACATTTGCGAGGCCAGATTCCTGATCAGCACCGGACTGGTCGTCTTCCTTCTTTAACAACGGAGA